CACAGCCCCCCCCCAGGGCCATGCTTCTCATTTCCCAGCTGCCCCCCATCACCTCCCCACCAGCAGCCTCTGGAGCCCCAAAGCCCCCAGTCACCAACCTCAGCTACAGCCCAGGACCAGGTAACCCGCACCACGGCGCTTTGCTTCCCATCTGTTTACACCACAGTGCCCGAGACAACACCGTATGACCTCCACACGACACAGGGGGAAGAGGCCACATCTGCTCCCACCTTCCCATGGACTCCCCTGGAGCTGGAAAACACTGCGTCCACGCCAAAGGTCAAAAGCCTGCCAGAGTGAGTGCCAGGGCCACTGGGGCGGAGAGGGACTGTCCCCGGTACAAGGACCAGGCAGCCTGAGGATGCAGGGTCCAGCTCCAGCTGCCCACAGGTTTTTGGGGTCAGCAGGACATCTCTGGAGAAAGCAAAATGTGCTGCTAAGGGGGCTGCTGTATCCCTGCCTGCCGGTACAAGGACCAGGCAGCCTGAGGATGCAGGGTCCAGCTCCAGCTGCCCACAGGTTTTTGGGGTCAGCAGGACATCTCTGGAGAAAGCAAAATGTGCTGCTAAGGGGGCTGCTGTATCCCTGCCTGCCGTAGGGATGCGTTGGTGGGACTCCCAGGCATGTGCTGCATCTGGGCACTTGTCCGTGGAGGTGGAGGACGAATCTGTGCAACTCAGTCATGCCAAGTTGTCCAGACATTGTGGACTGTAGATGTGCATGCATCCCTGGCCAGGAAACCTGGGAGAAATCCTTGGAACATCCTTGCCAGCTCGTGGAATCTCATACCCCCTGGGGCTGCACTAGATACAGGCACAAAAGCCTCCCCAGGGCACAGGGCTGCAGAGGAGGCAGGGCAGAACGGCGGTAACTCCCTTTTCTCCCATCCTAGAATGCCAAACCTGCTTGTTCTGATCCTGACACCCTCCGCTGTGCTGGTGCTGGTGCTGGTTTTGGGCATCATCATCATCAGATGCAGGATGAGAAGAGCATCGTCGGAGAAGAGCAGAGGTACAAGTGATCTGGGGGCCCAAGCTGTGGCCCTCCTGTGTGGGGTGGCTGCAGGGGTCCCAATGCTGCCCCCCCCCACCCCAGCACACCACAGGCTGCCCTCCCACTCCCATCCCAGGGGTGAGCAGGGCTTGGGGTGAAAGGGGCTGAGCCCTCCCCAGGACCCCAGTTCATTGAGCCCCATGGTCCAGGGGGCTCATGGCAAAGCCAGACCTGAGGTTGCACAGGACCCGATGTGGGCACCCATGGCAGGGGGGTCAGGACCCCCCAAAATGCTCCCCTTCAGCAAAGGGAGCTCTGTCTGAGCCATTTCTCTTGCTCTTCCACCAGCAGCCTGGGCCATGGAGAGGAAGAGGGACAAGGACCTCCAGGTACCACGGGTGGGAGGGCGGTGGGACAGGGCACTTGTGATGGCTCCACCACGAGGGAGCCACTGCCTGGAGCCCCCTTGTCCTCAACACCCCTCGTCCCCCCCCAGGTCACTGCAAACGGGGAGCAAGCAGCCACTTCCAATAACATCTACGTGAACAGGGAGTGGGAGCTCAGCTCACCTGAGGATGACTATGAGAACAGCCCAGCCAAGTGGCAGGTAAAGGGCAGCTCCTGGGGTGCACAGCAAGTCACCCCATGGGTGCTCCTTGCTCCCAGACCTGCAGCAAGAAGGAGCTGCACCGTGCTTTGGGGTGCAGGAAGGAGGAGCTGCCCTGCTTTGGGGTCACAGTCCTTTCCTCACACCAGCCTTTCCCTTCCCTTTAACAGCCTGTCCCGGGCAGCAGCTCACAAACTCCGTAGGAACAGGCATTCTGTAGACAGGAGCTTTTAGTGCTCTAGCACAGGCGGACCTGCAAAGGGCCCCAAATCTTTGCATTTCTTCCCCATTTCAGGACTATGAAAAGGGAGATGACATTTCGGTTTCCAGAGCTCCAGAACTGATCTACGTGAACACGCACTGAGCTGCTCGGCGCTTGGTCCCTCGCTGCCAGAAAGCCCCGTGTCCGGTAACGGGCATCCCCTGCAGCTCTCCCAACACCCAGGGTGCGTTTCCTCACCGCTGCCCGAGCTCTCTCTGCCTCTCCCGTTGCAATTCCCTGTATCCCGCAGAAGCAACCCCCGTCCCCTCTGTACCACGTGAGGCCAGGGCCCCCAGTGTGCCACGGGGTCCCGCAGCGTGACATGCACGCCACCAGGCCAGCAGCATTGTTCATCCCCACCCTGCCATGAGATTATTAAATGAATTGAAATCAGAAGATTTGGGATGTGTTTAAAATATCCTCCAATCAGGGGTTAAAAGCCCAGCATCCCCGGTCCAGACTGTGGGGTACCAGGGCATGCTGGGTCCTGGCAGCCCCTTCTCATCCTCCTCAATTCTTGTGCTCAGCAACGAGGAGCACATGGGGAGGAAGGGGAGGCTGGTGTCCTGTCGGAGACGTGGCCTCTGTCCCCTCCACGACCTCAGGGACTCTGAGATGCTGCAGCCAGTGAGGTCATCCCTGTTCCCACACAGACCTCAGATTTCTGCTTCTTTATTTTTACCTGGTGTCTCGTTCCCTTCCCTCTGGGTCTTTGCACAGAGCAAAGGGGCTGAAGGGTGAGGTGGAGGGAGGGTCCTGGGGGAGCCTGGCTCAGGGGGTCCCCCGGTTTCCCCCAGCCCAGCCTCCTGTGCAGATGTCAGGATTTCAGCTGCATATCCCAGATGGGAGAGCTGCAGAAGAAAAAGCCCCTGTTTGGGTCGGTCTTGTCATCCACCCAAATATAATCACCCTGATGTGAAATGGGAACCCACTCAGCCGTTTTAGAAAGAGGAAGAAAAGCCACAATGATGGAAAGAAAAAGAGTTGGGGAGATGCTGCACAAAGGGCTTGCAGACAACCCTACAGCAGCAGCCTGGGCAGTTTTTTGGAGCTGAAGCTGGGGGGAAACTCAGCTCCATCCCTGCCCTGCCACAGGCCAAGAGAGCTCTGCTGCGCGCTGCTTGCTCCCAAGGGCAACCCAAGCTTCACTGTCTGCAAGAAGCTTTGGTGCCGAATGGGGAGCAGGAGCACAGAGGGACTCGCTGCCTGGGCCAGCTCCAGCCATGCATCCCTGCTCCCAATTTTCCCCTGAGCCCCAGCACAGTCGTACCTGGGATGATAAAGCCAGAGGAGGAGGAGGAAGCCCTACATCATCCCAACCACTCTGTCCCAGCAAGCTCCATTGGCAGAGCCGACCCCCAGCTACCCAGACACATCCCCCTGT